GGTCTATCGGGCACACCAAAAGTGAGTTCACGGGACTCAAGCATGCGCAGAAACCGGCGCGGTTCTGTACAATTTATAAATTTTTCTTCCACAGCGTCCGATAACACGATGGTGGACCACGGCGCATCGATGGATCATGTTATCGTTCGAACGCCAGTCCAAAATCCCAATACTTGCAAGGGGTTTTTGCAGGCCTACTTCTCACAGTCTGCCAAAGGATGCTACTTGCGAGCATCTTGGAGAGACGCACGAGTCCGCAAACCTTGCTTAAATGGAACTCACAAGAGGCATTCTAGCTACAACATATATAATTGTGTGGTTGGTGATGCTCTTAAGATTTCTGTTGGGGGAGGTCGTTCCACCAGTTGCCCAGTTCGATTTCCACGTGCAGAAACTTCAGGGACATCTTGTGCTGGTTTGGAGCAATCACCCTTTCAATTGCCATTGGAGCATCAGAACTTCTCTGCTCCTAGTACGGGTTGCAGTACCAAATGCAGCATGAATGCCTTGCGGCGTCAGGTTCCTGACGAGTTGTTGCAGTACCGTTTGGCCGTTCAAAATGCCAAAAATGGAAGATACGGGCTGAGTATACGAGAGCTCCTAGCAAACCCGGATTTCGTTGAAGATGACGAGGAAGAACAGGGGGAGGACAGTGTTGCCATATGTGAAAATTATTAAACCATAAAGTATACCATGTTATTTTTACTTTATACAAATCAAAATTTTTGACGCGACATTTTTTTTTTTGCCTTTCATATACATATATATATATATGTGGCTGTATTTGTGTGTTGGTGTTCTTTATTTATTTATTTATTTATTTATTTATTTTGCTTCTTTTGGTGATTCTTTTACCACGACGCATTTCAGTCCTGTGTTGGCGGTCCCTGCTCTAAGTAGCGCACTCAAAGATACGAATGGAAGACGCACTTGACGAAAGCAGCGGGGGTGGGACCATCACCGATACGGAACGTCATTTTACGACTGTGCACCCGCTTAATGATGTGGTGACACTTCAAGGGCTTACGGCAAAGTACCAGAAGCGGCAAATACAACTATTTCAAGATGCCGATATCCCTGAAAATACCGAAAAAGTGGCGACTAGTATGTTCAGTGAAAAGTACATTTCCAACAAAATTACACGTCGACAGGTACTTCAGAGTGACGCGGTACTCAAAGAGGTGCTTGCTACTTACTCTATAGACCTTCCTATTCACTCCCTTATCATTTCCGACGAGGACGGGGAGGATGGGGCGGCATTTTCGGATGAGTTGAAGGCAGATATGCGGGCTGATAAATTAGAATGTACTCAACCACATCCTGCTTATTGTTTCTACCAGACCCACGAGAAAGAGGGAGGTGAAGCAAATTCTTTGATTGATGCTAAGAAATATGGGCCACAGCTGCAACTTTTTTTTTTTGTGGAGAAATTCCATCAGAAGCTAAAGAGCGCATGGTCGAGTGGAGAGAAGGTTGAGAGTCTGCGTATTGCGATTAGAGTGGCAAAATTCCTCTCAAAGGTTGAGATGCCAAGTTGCTACCCATCCGTTTACGTCTTGGTAGCACAAGTGTTGGACACGTTTGGCAATCTTGTCACACAGCGGATTCAAAACACTGCTGCAGAGAAGAGTTATGTGGTCTCTGTCTTGCTACAGAAGGGCATTGATGCAGCGGATGACTTAATCCCATCCGAGTCAGTGGAGGCGTGCTACAATTGGTTTCTAAAGATTAGTTCAATTTGCGAACTTATTCCACGGGTATGTATTGAGCTCTCACTTCTTAACTGCTTTCGTTTCATGGCAAAGAAAGCGCGTGTTGTTTCAGAGGAAGTCATACGTCGTCTTGCGATGCAGATTCGCGGCATTGCGGATCCGCTTGTTGCGGCCCACCTTCGCTGGTACTTATGTACTCGGGCGATGGTTGCCCTTGTAAGGCCCGGTTGGGCAACGAAATCGGGGCTGGATCAAGCAGTCATAGACACCCTTGAGGCACTTGAACATCTTGACCCTGCGCTTTTAGAGAAACTTCAGAACAGGCACAATATGGGGAGAATGGATTACTTGGACTTATTTATTCCCGCACTGCAGTGGCAAATGGACACCATTTTACGTTACGGCGATGCCAATTGGCCGAATTATCAACCGTTATTGAGGAATGTTGTTTCCATCATTGTAGAAAATTTGAACTCGCCGGCATGTCTATTGCTGTGCGTTTGGCGTGCCTTCCCAGCGGCGGTGTTGCTCTCGTGTTACAGTGTGGAGGAGCTTCTTTCTATTACTTTTCGCTCGTTTCCGTCACGATTGGTTTCGCGACTGAAACTTATGGAGGCATTGTGTTTGTCTTTGGCGGATTTGTCGGAAGTTCCGTTAGCGAGAGCGCAACGTCTTGCTTTTTTGAAGGCTGCATGGGACTATGTCGAGGAGGAAAGGTGCAGACGATCTAGCGTGGGCACGGAAGGCGTGGCGCTACCCGCTCCGAAACAAGGGTTAGTGGGTGAGTTAATAGGCGTATGCGGTGCGATGATGCAATTTTGTGCGAATCATGTGGGGTTCAAACAGGTCAATGTTTTTCTTGGTCTTGTTCGGGACATTATTTGCGATGTTAAAATGTTGGAGAATGAGAAATCGTTGGAGGCTGTTAAAGCCAGTTTGTTTGGCATGCTATCCGCTCTTGTCTCAGTTGTGAACCCTTTGCTCCTCCTGGAATCCGAACATGTGGTAACCCTCTTGCAACAGTTGGCTTCGGGAGATCGACGTCGGTTGATGTTTGTGTTTCTTCGCCAATTCGTTTCAGGGGCATTAGGCGCCGGCAGTTCATTTTCTCCCTTTGCCATGAAGACCGTGTTTCGTTTGTGTAAGATATTTCACGACGATCTTATTAACGTGGTCTCCTTTGACGAGCTGCAGGAGGGGACTAAGGTGGTGGAGAAGGTCTTCCTTTTGCTGTTGAAGAGAGTAGGATCTCTGGAGGACGCTCTTCAACTTATGTGTGATGCACGCCACCATCTCTCCCGCTTTGATTCCATTAAAATTATTTCCGTCAATCGGGCACTGGGGTTGGCGGGTCGCTTTGCTGCCGGATGCGCAGAGGGAAAAAAACACGACGAGACAAGGGCTCTATTGATGTTTTCTATAGTCACCATCCCGGCAGTGACGGATCTAATTCAGCGTTTTCACCTTTTGGCTCTTTCGTCCGGCATGGCACTTCGTAGTGGTATGATTGTTATTGGGGAGGCAGCACTAGAATTTGCGTTGGAGGGGCTGGAGACTTACCGTTCGAGCTGCAGTGGCAAGGATGAAACGAGGAAAAGGAGCCAAGAAGAGTCTGATATCGCAGATGTGGCCGTGCATCTTCTGGAGTTGGGCGTTGCGGCCCCTGCGAAGGGTGAGCATCTTTACGCAGTGCGTCGACTTTTGAATTGGAGCGCTGGTTTCGACTGGATGCCGTGCTCCATTCCGTGCGTGCATATCAGCTTGTCTGCCCTGCGACTCATGACACGCGCGTTGCAAGGCAGGTTTCTATCGTTTCCCTTTTGTCAGACAGAGCATTATGGAAAGGATCCTGCGTTTGTTGAGTCGTGTGTTGCCCTTTCACTGGAGGCGACGCATCAATTGCAGAGGTGGATAGAGGCCAGCTGTCACGTTGTGTCAACAAAATCCGAGTTGGCGACGGATTTATCTACAACAGCAATCGAGATATTTGAGACTTTGGCCATATTTGATAACAAAGATCCGCCTCTTGGTCCGGCGTTAACCACATTGGTCTGCGCGGCGTGGCGGGCAGCCAATGCATGGGCAATACTGAGCGGCTCTTTGGAAGTGTCCCGACACATCCTGCGTACCGCACGGTTCGTCCAGGAGGTGGTGGGTACGAGCGTCTTTGAAGAAATTTTGCTCCATTGACTCTGCGCTGTTTATTTATATATTTATATGTATATTTGATCCTTTTGTTTCACACAATTGCTTATTTTTTCCTTTTTTTTTTTTTTGTTTACAAGATCCTGCTATTTTTTTTTTTTGTAGTGAGGCGCGATTTTTTTGCTGTTCGCATAATTATGAAGTGCTGTGTGTGGGGGTATAAAGCCTACACGGTCTCCGCGCTCTGCCTGCCCGTGCGGTGTTTTTGAACATGCGGTGTTTCTTTTTTTTTTTTTTTGATTTTGCGTTCCCGTCACATGCTCAGTGCGGGACAGCGCAAGGAAGGAAGGAAGGTGTGGGGTACTACACACCTAATCAGAAATTTACTATTATTATCGTCTTCATCATCATCACCATCTTAATAGTGAGGAGAATAGGCGACGGAACCTAGCGCAGGGTTACGTAAAGCGAGCCAATAAGAATAGAAGGGTAATAAACGTGTAGGTAGAGGCAAGGGGTCTGTATTATGAGTTATCATAAAGTAATCCGTTCCATTGTGACGGCCTACGTCATCCTTTTACTGGCTGTACACTGGATCATAGCATGGATCTTGCAGTTAATACTTATTTTTTTTACGTACCCGTTTATGGGCCGCGAGAAGAGGCAGGATTGCTGTGGTTTTATTTTTCGTTTCGCAAACTTTATTTCCACAGACGTCCTGAATCCGTTTTGGAGGAGCCAAATTCTGAAGCCCTTTCCGAATGTGAATGGGAAAAAAGTGTTGATTATGATGAACCATTTAAGCGCTGCGGATCCGTTTCTGATGGTTAGGGTGCTTCTCCCTCTTGACGCTGCGTGGATTGTGAAAAGTGGACTCTTTCGTGTTCCGTTTGGTGGCTGGTGCTTGAGTAATGCCAACGATTTGAAGGTGTGCTTTAAAAACAAGCGGGAGGGACTAGAGACGGTTAAAGGGACTGTCGGGGTTATGATGGAGGAGGCGCGCCGGAAGTTGTGTCGGGGACGCCCCATTGCCGTGTTTCCTGAGGGATTACGCAGCAAAAATCCCGAAGGGGGGTTGTTGCCATTTCGCCTTGGCTTCTTTAAGCTGGCAGTGGAGGAGGGCGCGACGATTGTCCCGATTGCCATTAGCGGAACGGATAAGTGCTGGCCTCTC